AAGAAGAAAGAAGAGAAGAAAGAAGATTTTTTATTCGATTTAAATAATTTATTAATAATTAATTTATTAAAGAAATTAAATAAGAGATTTATTAGTAAATCGTATATTAAAATAAAAGTTCTAAAGGATTTAAACTATTATTTATAGACCTAGAATTATTAATAGTTTCTCGAGAAATAGAATATCTTTAAAATAGTATTAGGGAAATTATTAATATTTATATAATTCGATAGAGAGTCTCTATCGAATTATATAATTTAAACGTATATTAAATTAAATCGAAATCTTTATTAGATCTTCGCGAAATTAAAGAAACTCTTAATATCTTAAATAGTAAAGAAATAATAAATTAAGAGATAATATCTAAGGTTACTATTTAATAATTTATTATATTTATATTTATCTCTAATTCTTCTAATTATATTAAGCGATATCTTATATTTTAAATCGCTATCTTTATATAATAGCTTTATATTAAGAAGCTAGACTATAATCTCTATAAGTTTTATAATAACTTCGATATAAAGAATAAGATTAAGCTTATAAATATTATAATCGAACTTCTTATTTATTAGAAAGTTATTTATAAACTAAACGCTCGCGAATAGAAATAAGCTACTATTAAGAAAATTATTATCTTAATTATTAAAGAAATTTAAAAGCTCGCTATTCTATTAGCTAATAGATATCTAATTACTTATAAATAGATTTTTAAGATTAAATATAATAATAATAAGACTATTAATAAATTTAAGGCTAGACTTATTATTAGAGAGTTTACGTAAGTAGAAAATATCGACTTCTATAAGATCTTTACCCTTATTTTATAATTTAACTCTCTACGTTTATTTCTATTATATATAGTAATAATAAATCTTTTAATAGAATAAATAGATATTAATAATACTTATTTTAATAGCGACCTCTATAAGGAAATCTATATAATCTTATTATTAGACTATCTATTAATAATTAGTACTAAAAATAAGATATTACTTCTTTAAAAAGAATTATATAGCTTTAAATAATTAACCCGTATCTAGAATAAGAAATTTAAGTATATTATTAAGAAAATAAGATTTATAGCTACTATAGCTAATAGCTATATCTTTATTCGAGTATTATTAGAGGGAATAGTTATTATAGTACTCTATATAGACGATATTCTTATTAGAATTAAGCTATAAAGTAAGCTATAAAGTACTATAGACTATATTAAGTATTAAATTTATAAAGAATTTAAGATTATCGAAGTAGATTTAATTAATTATATTCTCGATATTTAAGTTTATTATAATTAAAATTTTTATATCTTAATTATTAAATAAGTATAATACGTTAAAAAGATATTTAAAGAATATTTAATAGACTAGACGATTTCTATTTATACTTCTATCGATAAATATAAGTTAATTTAATTAGATCGATTAGAAGAAGAATATACGAATTAGCTATAATATTAGAAGCGAATAAAAAGCTTTATATTTTTTATAATTAATATATAAATTAATATAGTCTTCGTTATAGAAAAGCTTAGTTAATTTTATTATAATCTTATTATTCGCTATATAAATATCGTGAATCGAGTATTTAAGTATATACGAGGTATTATATTCTTAGAATTACGCTATTAAGAGATAGAAATATTAAAAGAATTCGCGAATTTAATATACGATAATAATTAGAAGAACTATAAGTCTATTTATAAATTTATTTTACTATATAAATAAGTAGTATATTTATAATATAATTAAAAATAGCGAGAAATAATTATATCTACTATAGAAGCTAAGTATATAGCTTTAATAGAAGAAGATAAGACTATTATATAGATTATACGATAACTATAAGAAGTTCGTTTTCAAGTATTTAATAAAGGTCTTATAATATTACTTAATAATAATAAGAGAGTTATTAGCTTTATAAAGAATCTCGAGTATTATTAAAGAATTAAATATATCGATATTTAATATTATTATATTCGTTAATTAATTAAAGACGAGATAGTTACTATAGACTATATATTTATAATTTAAATAGTAATAGATATTTTTATTAAATCGCTAAATAAGAAGCTATTTAAATAGTATAGAGGATTACTTAGAATATATAGTTATTTAATTAATTAGAAGATTACTATCGAGGAAGTTCGATATTATATAAGATCTAAATTTACTTTCTCGAAATAATCTTATTATATATAAGAGCTATTACATATTCTAGAAGAATAAACTAAAGAGTTATATTAAAAATTTACGTTATTTTTCTACTTTCTCTACTTTCTTTATAAAGATCTTTTCGAAAAGTAATATTAACTATTTATTTTATTATCTTTATCTTCTTAATAGCTAAATAAAGAGAAAGTATTAATTTTAATAATTTATAACTATTAGCTATAATTTATAGCTATTAATTATAATATAATTAAAGACTATAACTATATAATTATAGAAAATAGCTATATAATTATATTACTTATAATTATATAATTATAAAGAATAGCTATATAATTATATTATTTATAGTTATATAATTATAGAAAATAGCTATATAATTATAAATAATAGCTATATAGCTATAATTATAATATACTAAAATAATTAGTTTACTTAGCGTATATATAAAATTAATATATCTAAAAGACTAAGATATATTCTTTAAAGCGATTCGATTTATTATAGACTATAAGTCGAAATCGAATAACTCGAAGAAACGAATCTCTAGTGATTTAGTAAGCGACTATTTATATTTATATTAGGCCTATATCTACTACATAAAGTTCTTTCCTTATGTTCTATCTATCTATATATGCGATCTATTTACATAGCATTCATATATAGCCCTAGCCCTAATTGTATTGGGCATAGCCTATCATATTGCCAACAGAAAGCTCCCACCTCCCTAGTGCCGGCATAGCATACCGCATCAAGCCACCCCCGACCGTCCGTACCCACTCGCACTCCTCAGATACTTCCCCGACGTTCGAACCGTTTCGCGGCTGCAGGAATACTTGAGTTCTGGGTCCCCTGTGCGTAACGCTCGTGCGATCCAGCGCCAAAGTATCCCGACAGAGCGCTCGGAATGATTTCAGGTCCTCGTATATTTTTCCTGCGAGAGCGAGGTCGCTGTAGTGCGCTCATCTCTATCAGGACTGACAACACGGCGAGCATATCGTAGAACATTCGATGAAGCGCTGCTTTCGCGGGGGCTATGGTCGCGCCATAGGCGTTCTGGACAGAAAGGGGCAATGCTCACGGTGCCATAATCATACAACGGATCTCCGACATGGTGAATTTGGGTGCTAGGAGAGGTTGTGTTGCTGAAGGCGGCGGCGGCGGCGTCTGTTTTAGAAGCCGACGAGGCAGCTTCAACGCAGAAGCGGGTTTCCCAGCTGGTCGTGGCCTGGCTGGGTCGGCCGGGTGGCGTACGATGAGCTGTTCATGGTGACGCGGAAAATGGGTGGTACATTTGTTCGCTTACGATAACGAGGCGTATGGTCAAGAGGGTGTCAGGCCGCTTGTCCGATGGCATGTATGGGATGCCGTCTCCAGGCGTGTAGTACCCTTGAATTACAGCGGCCTTCCCCTTCGAAGGCGCCACACTCCCCAAAGAATGAAAGAACAGTCCTGCTATTTCGATGGCAAAGGGAATAGAGGTCCATCGCATGTTCCGCCGGTGCCAAACAATGGGTCCTGGAGCCTTTCGAAGGACACCGAGAGTCGCCACCTCATGTTCTGGACAAGTAGCAGTGTCAAATTCCGCTTGGGTGAACCAATCTACCAGAAAAGCGACCAGAGACGTCTGGTCCATGGCAACCTCCCCCACTACGCTATCGATTGATAGACGCAGAGTCTCAAAATGTTGGTACGGTCTTGCTTGATGGCGCTGATCAGCATTTGCTCGATATCGGCAGGCACGAGTTCATCCAGATTGCCGAAGCGCAATATTTTGGGCTTGATGACGAGGAGGGATGTGGACAACTGCCCGCTGTATTTGGTTATGCTTGTTCTCTGTGACGAGAAACTTTGACGTTGCGTATACGTTGGGGCTGGGAAGTGTGCAGAAGGTGTCTTGGATGCTGGCCAGACCGAGATTGAAGCTTGTTTGTTTGGCGTGATTACTAGAATACTCTTCCATACATAGCCCACTAGCTATCTTGCATGGCAAATACCTGAGATACCTACAGTACCAGCATTTTTCTCTCGTATTTCTCGAATGTCGCTCATTTATCTCGGGCCTACATAACGCCGTCGCTATAAACCGTAAGCCTCTACAAATCTCTTCCGGGCGTAAATAAGCGTAGCTAATAGTCGGGCGACGGCTATCCGTCCCAGGTCACCAGCTGGAGAAAAGGCTTACGTAGAACGAAATTGTTGGAAATGATGCACCGCCTCTGAGCACACGAATAACACCGTCTTGGCAGAGGCTTCACAGGGCATATATGTAGCCTTCTTCCTACTACATCCTCACCAAATCCAACAGAACTTTGAAGAACCGCCCCTTTAATCTCTAGAATATTTAAGGATGTACGACGTTCGACAAATTCCCTCTCTGGCTAGATCTATGAGATGAACCACCTCTCCTTAACTTTTTGTCTTAGCAAATCGTAGACGTGTCCCTTAACATGTTTCGACATGTAGAGATCAACATTTCAACAAATTTAAATTCCAATGCCGGACATCATGCCCGCCAATTAACGCGCGCCGAATTTTGCGTAGCAGTATCACTCGTATAATGCAAGATTTATAGGATAGATCGGCAATAATCCATGCTGCACGTAAGCAAAATTCCGCCAGTCAGTTTGATTTTCGTTGTTCGTGCTGAACCGTTCTTGCATAAAGTGTTTTGAAACAGTCCAATACACTACACCACGCCCCCTCCTTACCGCATAGTATAAGAAAATCAAGGCTATGCCAAAAACCACTTCTACTATAACCTTCCGCGAACATTTCTTTAAACCCACTCTTACCGCCAAGTTGTGATATTTCAGACCTTGAAGCATGGACCGACACTATTCGACCCTGGAACTCGCTAAACACGATGAGACTGCTAGAGCTCCAGAACGCGACTACGATGCGACAGCCTTTGAGCTTGATACAAGCGCTCTAGCACCCGAGGTAAGCATAACACCATCCGTGGCAAGAAGTTGTATTGACTATAGATTTAGACTGTACCTGATACAACCCCACAAGTGCTCTATGATAATTCATTACCAGAGGCTCATGGCAACGAGAAGCCTACTGAGGAACACCTTCATGTCACCAAGCTTACACGCAAATGGCCATGGATTGTTATAGCGTTGATTCTTGCTGCAGTCATCGCTATTGGAGTCTCGGTTGGGATCTGGCATCACCGCGAGTATTCGTTATATAAGCCTCCTAGAGTTAGCAGGTACGGAAATTGTACGAATCGAATTTCCTCTTGGCTTACTTTTATAGCCCTCCGGCGCCGAATATCACATATACCCCTCAATATATCCTTAACGATACATCTCTGGCAGCCGTGTCCCTCTCTAATGGGGACCGACACTTATTTTTCCAGGATAATACTGGTTTGATCCGACGTGCGGTTCGTGTTGAATCTAACGGCCAATGGACCACGAGCCCGAATCTCAATGCCAGTGCGGATCCTTCTTCCAAACTCAGCTCCAACCCCAAGAGGAATACGCCGTTGACAGCAATCGGCCCTACAGATGGCCCACTTGGAAAAGATGTACTGGCCAAAATTAAAAAAACCTACCATTTGCATACACGCTAACTTATATGTAGATGTCGCTGTACTACATTTCAGAAAACCATACTGTGTGTTCAAATGTATTGAGCCAAGGCTCTTGGCGTCAAGATCAATACTTTGGGAACTACAGCACCGCAGTGGATACGCGCTCACTGTCCATAAGCCTTATTCCCAGCGGCAAATGATTCATCTAATCTCAACAATGAAAATTCGACTACCAATATAGCTCTGCTGTACTATGAGAATCCAAACGGGAAAGTATCAGCGCTGTTGCATCGTCTTCTTACCGTACTCACAGAAACCCCGGATGCTGGACGGTATCCGCTGGATCAATGGATCAATATCACCAGTCAAGAAAGCAAAGCATTGCCGAATGAATTTCGTAATGCTCCTGGTTTTAACTACAGCAACACCCTTTGACGAACTTTCCGGATATGAAAATGCTACATTCAGCCATACCTTATATGAGGCAGACCCGATTGCTGTATACAGCACTCCGTTCTGCAGTACACCAAATTACGCTGGAGATCGTAGGCGAAGAAGCAATGTTTTACTCACCGTTTAACCTCCCGCTGAATGCCATAACTCCTCTCGCTGGCGACAGTTTTTTTGCTGCTAGCTACATGGATCGGCCTCAACGGCTCTGGGAACTTCAGCCTAGCAGGTATGCATTTTGCAACCCCATATACGGAATGTTTTCCGTGAAATAACATTTATATTAGAATCTACACCACCCTCAAAAGATTATACTTCAATCCACCAGTCAGATATTGCATATTTTGGCCGTACGATCTGGTATCTGGATCAACGGCACACAGCCGGCACTGATACAATATGGACATACGCCGAAAGTCCAACGCTCCCAAGCAACGAGTTCCCTTTCACAAGGCTTGCTAGTGTGACCTTGACTGACGGATCGGCGACTTATCTATACCATCAAATGAATGGCACGACGTTTGCTGAGGAACAGTGGGATCCTACCCTGGGAGCCTGGCTTCGCCCGGAGTACATAACCGTGTCAGATTCCTAGTGCCCAAGATGTCACGTCAGACTTTACATTCAGGAGGAAAGAGATCTGGGTTTTGGATATGACACAAGACATGGTTCGAGGCGTTTCTGTTTCGGCGCCTGTTATCGGTTTGAGCCAGTCGGTGTCCTCATTTGGGTCTTCTATCAACGCGTCTTAGACTTTTTAGATCTTCTCAGCTCTCGCTCTTATAGGTTGCTGCACCGGATACCGAGTATAGAGAAAATAAAGGATCAAGCTCAGGATTGGACGGAGAGCTCAAGACAGAAGGATTCAAGATATTGTATGAACCACGTGTGGTCGCGTTAAATGTATGACGGGGCTCTTCCCCAGTGGTGACCTTTGGGAGGCCCGATAAGGTGACGAGCCTGGGATGGATCACTTCGTCGAGATAAATAGTAACGATGACTCGGAATGGTGGGAATTTGGTCTCCTACGGTGTTCGAATAGAACCAAACCCTTTTTACTTTTTTTTATTAGAATCAAAACTTAAATATAATAATTATAGCTATTATTATTATATATTTAAATAATTAATAACTATAATTTATTTTAATAACTAATATTATAATATTATAATCGCTATCTTTTATCTTAATAAAATAAATATTTTATTAAGAGTTTATATATAATCTATTTCTTAGATTTATATAATAATTATTAAAATAATTAATTTTTTTTCTAAATCTATTTATATATATTATATACTTTTTAATAAATTATTATTTTTAATTATTACTCTTAATTAATACTATATTATTTATAAAAGAAATTAAAAATATTTAATTTTTTTTAAATATTATTAATAATAAGATCTTATTATAATTATTTTAAGAAACGCTTTATTAAATATAATATTAAATTAAATTATTATAAAACTTTTTCTTTATTTTAATTTTTTTTTAAATATTTTCTTTAATTATATTTTAATTACTTTATATTAATAAAAATAATAATTTAAATCTAATATATTCTAAAAGAGGAAAAAAGAAGAAGATTATATAGATTATATAATTAGAGAATATTAGAAATTTCTATATAGATCTTTATTAAAAAAACTTTTATTAATATATATAAAAGAATAAGATAGAGTTAAACTAGAAAATCTTAAATTTATATATATAATTAATTATTAATTCGTTAGATCTACGTCTTTTAATTAGATATTACGAGTAAATAAATTAGCGTTCGTAATTATTAAAAAAATAAATGTACGTTATTAATATATAGAATAACTTTTTTATTTTCTATTAAGTTTTTAAGATTTTTTTTTTAAATTATAGATCGAAATATAGGCTTTTAGATAAAAAAAGAATTTTTAAATTTAATCTTATAATTATTAAAGCGTAAGGATTTTAAATATCTATTAGAATCGATATAGATGTAATATTAATATAGATATATTAAATAAGATAACTAAGATATCGAATTATATAGATAAAAGAAATATATTAAATAGTAGATAATACCTCTATTAAGATACGCTAGGCTCGAATAGATGAGAAAGCTAAGTAATATATTAAGAATATAAAATACGCTTATAATATTACTTCTCTTCTTTATAAAATTATATTCTATAATTAATAAATAGAAAGATAGAAAAATAGATATATATATATATTTAAAGTCTGAAAAATAATAAAAGTAGTATAGAAATAATTATTTTCGAGAATCGTAGTATTATATCTTTCTTTATAAGAGATATTATAGACGATAATAGCTCTTTATACTTATACTATAGTAATATCGCTAATCGAGATATAGACGTATATAGAGAGTCTAGCTAGAAGAAATTCGATATAATATAATAAAAGTAATATCTATAGACGTAAGAGTAATTAATAGTAATTTTCGAATCTATATTTAAGTAAATAATATATTAATAAAATAATATAATATAATTAGTTAAGAGTTCTCGAATCGAATCGAGCTATAAGCGCTAAAAACTCTAATTTAATATTAAATAAGTTTCTCTATAGAATACTATATAACTAATATCGATAGAGATTATTAATAACGATAGTAAGATTTATAGATAACGCGCTATAGCTTCGAAAGATATTTAAATATTTATTAAGAAGAGAATTCTACGCGAAAGACTTTATATAATATAATTTATAATCGATATAAATCTAAGAAATTAATTCTCGAGTCTGAAAAAATAAGGCTATTGCGAAGATATCGAATAATTTTAATTCGATTAAAAATAAGATATTCGAGATAGTTCTATTATTTTATAAGTTAATTCTTTATAAATAAGACTCTTCGAAATATCGTTTATAAAAGTCGTTTATTAAATTTTAATAATTTTCGAATTTACCGTCGTCTATATTATATTAAATAAGATTATTATCGAGATCTTTCTATTTAACTTTATACTTAAAATAATTATAAATTAATTTAAAGATAAGTATTTCTTTAATAACTTATTCGATTTAATTATTAATAGTAATATATTTCGATAAAGAATTTATCTATTCTAGTAAGAAATTATTTATTATAAAACTTAAGAGATTAAGATAAAAGATATTATAAATTCTTATACTTAGCGAAAGTTTTAAATAATATAAGATTTTTATAAAGTCTATAATCTTAAATAAATTAAGTTTCTTATAATTTAATTTACGAAAAAGGCGATTAAAGGTAATATTCTTACTACTTAGAAAGACTTTATCATCTATTTAAAAAGTAATCTTTTATTAATACTTATTAATTTATATAATTATAATCTTCTAAATGCGATCTATATTACTTCGAATATACTTAAAAATTTATTTTATATAATTTATAATATTCTTTATTTAAGTAATATTAAGACGCTTATAAGTAATCTTATAATCGATAATATTTAAATTAAAAGTTATTTAAAAATAAAATCTCTTATTAATAAGAAAAGATAAGATATTAATAATTAATAAGATAGTATTATTATTAATAAACTTAATATTAAATAATTATCTTATCTAGTTATTTTATATATAATTATAATATATTTAAAAATAACGCTTTATATTCTAATTTACTCGCTTAATTTATTTATTAATTTTAGAATAAAAGATTATTAATAGCTTAACTATAATATCTAATTTTTTATAAAAAGATTTTTATATAATAGCTATAAATTAAGAGTTTTAATTTAATATTATTAAAGTTAATAGATTATATAGATAAAATACTTCTTTAAGTAGTAAGTTAATTATCTTTTTAATAATAGTATTTTTATTAATATCGAAATAGATTATATAGTAATATTCTTTAATAAATTAATTAATTACTATTTAAATAGCGTTATAATTATTAAATATAAGTAAATCTATAATAAAGTTAATTAATATATCTTATTATCGCTTTTATAAGATTAATAAAGACTATAATAAACTATACTCTCGATTACGAGACGCTTTAGTTTTTTAATAGATATAATAATTCTAAATATAGATAGCTATAATAATCTTTATATCTCGCTAATAATATTCTCTTTTAAATAACTTATTAATATATATAAAAGAATAAGGTAGAGCTGAATTAGAAAACCTTGAATTTGTATGTGCAGCCAATTATAAATTCGGGTCCTCTACGCTTTTTGGCTAGACCGGCTGACTCATCGCGGGTAAATAAATTAGCGTCCGCAACCATCAAACGTCCGCAACAATCAAAAAAATAGGTGTACGTTATTAATGTATGGAATAACTTTTTTATTTTCTATTAAATATTTGATGTTTTTTTTTAAATCATAGAACGAAGATTGCGCTATTCAAAAATGTAAAACTTTTTAAATTTGATCTTATAGTTATTAAAGGGTAAGGACCTCAAATATCGTTTATCAAAGTTCGCTCACCAAAGTTCGCTCGACAGCCCTGATCAAAAAATAGGTGTACATTATTTAATTTTAGAATAACTTTTTTATTTTCTATTAAACTTTTGAATTTTTTTTATATTAATAATAGAATATAATGTAGACTTTTAGATAAAAAAAGAATTATTAAATTTAGCTCTATAGATGTTTAAAGGTAAGGAATTTAAATATCGTCTATTAAAAGTTCGCTTATCAAATTTGCTCGACAGCCCTAATTAAAAAAAAAAGGTTATGAATTTAATTCATAGGCCTTTACTCGTAAATATATACTATCTTAAGATATTCGTAGAATGGTTAATTAT